GAACTGCCTTCTGTTGTTCCTAGGGGCAGAGGCTAAAGTAGGTGTTTGCCTCAATTTCAATGTTGGGGAAAGATTCTGAATGATTTGCATTCTGAGCACACCTAGGAATGGCTCCAGTCTGTCCATTTTCTTAGACCAGCCAATGCCAGTAACCATTAGATTAGCTTCAGGAACAAACTCACTTCTCTCCATTTTTCTAAGGCTCATTGTGATTTTTATCCAAGCTCTTTGAACATCTATCCAGTCATCCAGAAACTGACATCTGTTATGTTAAAAGAGGTGAATAGGAACCCCAAATTTTGTTCTTCTGGGGACAACAGCTTGCATCTCTTCCTTAACTTACTTTTAACATTTTATCCCCACTTCTCTGCTGTGTGTCACATGAATCTCTTCTTCAAAAAAATATTCACCTGACACACAGGGAGAAGTGGCAGTATTCGTGTTCAGTGCATGCATACCATTGCTCCCATGTGGAGGTAGGTAACATTCTGAGTAATCAGTTCACACCTTCGACCTTGCTGAGGCTGAGAGGTTTCTGCCTTTGTGAAACCTCCTCCAGACTGGATCAGAAGCTTCCAGGAAATTCTTCTGACTCTACTTTTAATTTGCTGCAGGAGTGCTAGCATGGTAGATGTCTCCGTCTACATTCAGATTTTCTCATGGCTGTTGGGACTTGGACTTAGGTCAGCAGGCTTGTGTGGTTAGCATTTTACATATGAAGCTGTGACTCTGGTCTACATGGATCTCTTCTATCTCTGAGAATGTTTCCCTTATCCAGGGTGAGGCAATGGTTTGGTTGATAGTGCACTTGCATTGCCCAGAAACCATATCTTAAAAAGCTGGATATGATGATGTACTTCTAATTCCAGCTCTGGGGATGTGGACAGAGGTAGAGCCCAGAGGTCATCTTAGCATACTTTAGTTTCCGCCCACTAAGATACCAGCCTCACAAAACTAGATGGACCACATATGAGGATGACATGGGAAATTGATTTCTGCCATCCGTATACATACACACACACATGCTCTCCCCCAAAATATAAACATATATGAAACATGTTTAACTTTCAGAATCTGCCCTTTGACTACAGCAATCTACTTAGTTAAGGGTCTTCAACAACTCTCCAATTCCAAACTTTCCATTGGACCTCCCTACAGTTTTTCAGTTACAGTGGTTAGGTCTCTGGGCAAAGATTGTTCCAGATTGGACCACAGTATCCCCTAAACTTCATCCCTTTTCTATGTGTGTCCTACTCACTCAAGTAGTTAACCTGGCTTTGCACTTGCTCCTATTCCTAGCCATGTGTCACAGATAAAGGAGATAAAGCACAGTAAGTTCACTCAGCTAGATCTATATCATGTACCTTGTGATCTGGGAGACCTGAATTTGATACAAGTCTGCCACATCAATCCACACCCGAAGATTCAGTCACCGCTTTATTCATTCAAGAACCCTCCCCAGTAGAGGAAATGGTAAGCAATCCTCCCATGTGTTATTGGAAATTTCTGTCCAAGTGGATGAGATCGAGTTATAGATGTACCATTCCCTTGGTATCTTTCTTTCCCAGCATGCTCTGACTCCCACCATTTGGCTGCTGGTACAGTTGAAAATAGCACCCAGCATCTCAGGTTCACACAGTCTCCAACTTCAAGACAAGCTTGACTATACTATCACAGCTGTATTTGACAAAAGAGATCGTGTAGGATGAGGTCTATGTACCTGTAGCACTGACCACACCCTTTTACCCACAGGTGCCTAGAATGTATTGGGGGGGATAAAAAGAGCTAAGGGGAGGAGTCTCTCTTTCTTTGGGTTTTGGTTGTAATCTGGAGAGCAGAGTGTGGACCTTTGGTTCTTGGCTTTCTTGGAACCTAACATAAGTGATTTCTCTCCTAATAAAATATCATAGGACATCCCTATTTTGTGTATCTTAATATTTTTGCATTAAGATTGATACTAGAACAAGCAGCAACAACAAAAATACCAGCAAGTCTGTTCCCAACATTGAAGTGAAAATAACTTGTGGTTGCACTCTAGTTGTCCTGTACAGCAGGATGTTCCTAATCAGTTGAGCCCCTGCCCACACTCCCAGCAGTTCCTTATTGACCAGTTCTTCTTGGACTCCTGTTAGGCTACATGTCTGGGAGACTTGCTGTACGAAGAGCAAACCCTGAGTAATTCAGGCTTCATGTGATTGTTCCTCTGCCAGAAGTTTGTTCTTAAAAAATAATTATTATTACACTTATTTATTTTACATGTGTGTGATGAGGGGGGACATAAGTCAGAGTGTCAGGGGTCAATGAACAACTTACAGGAATCAGTTCTCTCCTTTCCCATGTGGGTCTCGGAGGTCAAATTCAGGTCATCATGTTTAACCAAGCAAGAGCCTTTACTAGTATCAAAACACCATGCTGACTCCCTCTTGTTAATCTTCTCCTTCTCATCCTCTATGTCTCCTCTGAAGCCTTCATTATTCTGAAATGCCTTTCCTTTCTCAGGAGCAGCACTCCCAGCCTAGTAACAGCACATCATGGCATGTGCAGTATCACAGGTTCACTTATGTTTTTCAGCATGTTGTGGAATAGATCCGTGCTGGAGGGAGATGGGTTGTTTAGTTAGAAAAAAACTTGCTGTACAGGGCACCAGATACCAGAACTGGAGAGGAAGAAACAGGAGGATCCCTGGAGCCTTCTGGCTTCTTAGTCTAGGTGAATCAGTAAGCCTTAGGTTCAGTGAAAGACTGTGTCTTCAAAATACGATTGGAGAAGACTGTAGAAAACAACATCTCAACAAAGTTGAGTTCTCTACATGTGTCTGCACACATGCTGTGCAAGCATGATGCATGTACACACACACACATGCCCGCACACACTTCTCCCTTCTCTTCTGCTTCTTTGTTCTTCTTGACTTTTCTTCACTCCATCCTGTACCCTTCTCCTTCCTTCTCTCCATTCTAGTCCCTCTTCTTCCTTTCTCCATCTTTTCTCTTCCTCTCCTTCCCCTTCCTTATCCTTCTGCACCCCCTTCCATTCAGTTATCTCATTCTCCTGTCTTCTCTGCTTTCTTGTCTACTTGAAGATGAGAACCATCTGCTATTGGCATTGAGGTAAAGAATGCCAATCTTGATAAAAAAACTCGTATAATAATGTCAATATAAACTTGAGATAAAAATATGAAAGATACTTTGAAATATTTCAGTTTTTGTCAGAAATTCCTTACCATGTACAACCATCCAAATGTGACTAAGAGGCCTGTTTGACTATAGAGGAACTAGCAAAGCCCCCTGCTCTGTGATGATTGGTAAGTCTGGGAGCTAGACAGCTTGATATGCTCCCAGTCGATATCTGCCTATTGACTGCCCAAAGCAAGCAGCACTCCATCAAACTTGAGAGAAGAAAGCTGACATCCTTTTGTAAAGCTGAAAAATGACCTGAAAGGCTTTGTTAGAATGTCAGCAATCTATACTGTGAAGAGATTAGAGGAGCCTGAGACCCTGACTGTGCACCTGTAAGTGTCACCAGACACAAGTTAAGCAGATCAAGGACAGCCACTCAATAGGAGACAGAGAGAGACAACTATGCAACTGCACTGTCACTTAGCAAACCAGCTCAGTATGTGGCAATCATTAAACACATGACTACGGAAACCAGAATTGCTTGAAAGAGCCTGTTTTGAATGATAAAGGACACCTTTATGGGAACACTCCTTCTACTGTCATATCAGTCTTCTGAAAAATGTATTTTTCCAAGAATCCCCAAGAAGACAAAAGATAATCCTTATTTCAATATTCCATTGTTGAGTAATAAGACATGGTAAATAGTTTCATCTGTTAAGCAATTCTGGAAGAAAAGGCAATATCAAGTCACAGAAAAGACATTTGAAGCACACATTATCTTAATACTTTGGAAGAGTTGGAAGTATGAAGTCAGCTCTTTCCCCATGCCCTTTGACCAAGTGCCATTTCTGAGGAGCAGTAAGGTAAATACTCCATTTCATGGGCTTGGGAAGAAAGCTCAGCTGGAAGAGCCTGAGACCCTGAATCTGTACCCAATTACTCTTGTAAAAGTTAAGCAAGCGTGCTGTGTTCCCACCATCCCCGAGCTCAATGGTGGACAGGCAGCTACATGTGAGGTGAGAGGCCCCATCTCAGAAACAACTAAGGAGACAGGAAATTGACATCAGACATTAGATTCTGACCTCCACATACACCAGTACAAGTAAGCACACATGTACACACATACATGTGCATCCACATACATACTGCAAAATGAAACCACAGCTTTTGGACCACACTATGCATCTTTGATTATTCTCCTCCAAACCTAGTGACTCTGGAAAGATTGCAGAGCCTTTAGCAGGTAGAATCTCACTGGAGGAAATGGGTCTCCAGGAATGGATGTTGAAGGTGTATAGCCTTACCCTATTTCCTATTTACTCTCTGCTTCCTAAATGTGTATACAAAATGACCTTTCAGGATTCTGTTCTTTCTACCTTGCTTTCCCCACTTGTTGCCATGTCTTCCTCCTTTGTGATGAACCTTATCCTTCTGGTGATGTAAACCAGAATGAACTTTCTCTCTTAAGTTGCTCTGATCAGACTGTTTTTTATCACAGGAACAGGAAAATAACTAAGACATACATCATGTCACTTGCCATTTACACCAGTGATATATATTAGTTGTTATAACAGGAAACTTAAGCCATCAAGACAAAGCCATTTATTCTGCAGCTCCCCTATGTACTTATATCATCATTCTCTCTTCTACTTTAGCATATATACAGGTTTGATTTGTTTGTCTTAATCTCATAAAGTCCACAAAGACATGTCTTATCTTCTTGCATTTTCTCCTCCTGCTTTAGTATTTGAGATATAACATCCTACTGGAAAATTCATTTTGAAGAGATTATCAGTGTCCATACCATGTTGAACATTTAGGGGTCCCACACAGTATTCTTTGAGTTCTGCTAATACACTGTGGGCATACTATATGAGTACTCACAGTCATGACAGGTAGCGCCTGTGTAACCAGTATCACTGCAGTTACAGTCGAAGGTGGTCCAGGACTGGGCACAGTGTCCTCCATGCTCACAGTAGTTTGGCAAACACCTAATGGGAGATAACGCACAAATAAACAAAACAAACCAAGACAACTGAAACATAGAGACAAGCAAATCCTTTGGGAGCAGCAAATTTGCTAAAGTCCTATAAGTGTCAGAATTAAATGATATGAAAACCATACAGATCTGCCTGTACTTCTGAGTAGTGGGGATCTCAGAGTAAAGTTCTACCTTTAGTTAAAGCCTAAATGCTGTTGCACAAAGCGTTAGACAGAAGTGGAAACAGAGTGATGTTTATTGTGGCACACAGTGCAGAAGGGTTATTACTTTACAATTGAAAGTATGGTGACTGTTTGAAAGGAAGTGAAAAACTGACAGATTACTGTCTGTGCTACTCGTTGGAGATGTTCTGGAAGCTATCTCAACCTACAGAAACAGAACATGGGTTAAAGATTAATGTTTCCCCCAATTAATATGCAAGGAATTTCTACCTTTTTAGAAAACGTCAAAGTCATCCTGAAGAACTTTATTAGTTATGCCAAACCAATACAGTGTCCTTTTAACAAAATCTGAGTAACACCTGTCACCTCCCCACCTCCCACCCACCCCCTTTTCTCCCTAAACCTAAAATAGAGATAGCACTGTTTTGAGCATCCTCCGACAGGACTCCTTTCATCATTTGTAACCCCACCATTACCTTGCTTTTGAACATTTCCCTTTTCTTTATTTTTCTCGTGTAATGGGTATGAGTGTTTTCCTACATGTCTGCATGTATACCGCATGTATGTGTCCCTGATACTCAAAGAGGCCTGAAAAACGTTGTTTGGATACCCTGGAAGTGAAGTTATAGATGTTTGTGTGCCACCATGTGGGTGTTGGGAACTGAACCAGGGTCTTCTGCAAGAATAGCAAGTACTCTTAAATGGGTAGCCACATCTCCAGTCCGGCTTCTGAACATCTCTTACCCTGACTTCACCTTTCTCAAGACTTCCCTGTAACTGCTTAGCTCATTCCCTTTCATCCTATCATACCTACTCCCATGCAGATTCAATGAAGTCCCAGGTATCACGTGCCTTTTCCTGGCAGCTAAAAATGGGATTATTTCAAAATTTTCTTTTTACATTTATTCATTCATTTATTTAGTGTGCCTAATAGTGGCAGCAGGGAGCACATGCCATGGGGGATATGTGGAGGTCAGAGGATAATTTGAGGGAGTGAATTCTCTCCTACCACAATGTGGGTCTCTAGGATTAAACTCAGGTTTTCAGCCTTGACAGCAAGCACTTTTATCATCTGAGGTACCTACTGCCTCAACAACTGCTTTAACAATAGAAACATAAATGAAGGAAGGTAAACAATACTTTTGTCTATGTTTCTTTTAGTTATGATGCCAAAAAACTTGCAAATAGCCTGATCTTGGTGACTTATATTATGGCATACGAGATCCCAACATCTGTTATGGTCATGACTTCACGCATATGAAAAATGTAAAAGATACATGGGAAAAGATCTGAAGGGAGAAGCCTTGGGGCAAGCTGCCATAAATATGGGCCTCTTTGAGCACATCTTTAATAAGCCTCCCACAGAATTTGCCCTGGTGTTAATAAACTCAATTTAGCACTGAAAATGTGGGCTACAAAGTCATTTGTCTATGGTCACTAAAGAATCAATGATGTATTTCTGGAAGGGAAAAACACATTTGAGAAATAGAAAAAAGCCTAATAATCCTGGAATAAGAAGCAAAATGAATGAAAACATGGAGAGTTGCATTACAGAAAGGTGTGTTTGGGACTAGTGCACAGGAATCATCTCAACACAGACAGTTGATATAAGATTTATAAGCCAAATTTGCTTATTTAAGAAGACAATTTCATGAGCATAATTTACAGATTCTTCAATCAGTTCATTTTAGCTATTGTTTTACTTCCTTTCTCCCCTCTGCTTGGCACAAACTGATTATTTTGGAACCATATACAGAAAGAGAATGTCCTAGAGCTAAAAGGGGAATAAACTGTGCATGTGGATACTGGTGGTCTTGGGCATAAGACTATTAGTTTAAATTGTAATGGTTGGTAGTTGAGGAGACAGCTCAGAAAATACTGGTAAAATATTCGCGACACAAGTATGAAGAACAGAATTTGAATCCCAGGCATCCATGTCAAAGTACAGACAAGCCAGGACACCTATGATCTTTGTACACAGAAGGGATGGACAGGGTATCCCCAGGACAAGCTGCCTAGTTAGAAAATAAAAACCATTCACAGTGGTGTTGAATAGGATATCCTGACTCTGGATATAAAGTAGAAGTCTCTGAAGGAAGATATCCTATGTCCACCTCTCACCTCTACATGCACACTCACCTGAAAAAAAGGTGAACCCACACACATCATGCACAACTCCCCTTCTCTTCAACATGCATGCAGATTGTTTTAAAAGATCTGAACAGATGTGACTGCTCAGTGCAGTTTTTCAGTATAAATATATCAACTTTTTTGGCTTTCCAAGAGGCCAGAAAAACTAACAGAGTGTTTGTCTTGCAGAACATGGCAGATACACTGAGAGACACCTTGCCTCTTTGTAAAATCAGAGTGCATTTGAGATCATGACAGGAAGAGTTCAAAGAAAACATTAGATACTGAAGCAGAAGCAAGTCAACAATGATAAAAAGAAGAATATAATAACTCAGAAGATATCCCCCAAAATCAAAATTTTTCTGGTTTCAGGCAGATGGCTCTGTCTCTTGCTGTGCAAGCATAAGGCACAGAACCAGGTAAAAAGGCAAGACGTGGCCACATGTGTCTATAATGATATCTCTAGAGAGGTAGAAACAAGAAGCCTCCTGGTACTCACTGACCTACCAGCAACATAGGTCTCTTTGTTGCCAGTGATAGGGGAAAGATCATGGGAGCTCTCCATGTGTGACTTGTCTTTGACAGGGCCAGGCTGAAGGTTAGTCTGTGGGAAATGATTATGAATACAAAAGGATTTCAGGTAGTTAAGGAAATTGAAGCTTGCTGGTTTATCTGTAATTTGGACAGGGTTCACAGAAGAAAGATAATTTGGTTTCTTCTATTAATAATCATATGGCTATGTAACAAACCAAAACTAGTAGGTGACTACATATCAGCATAAGTTTATATCTTAATCACTGTGTTTCCCCTTGAATTGAAGATTTCCATCTCAGCTTTCTGATGGACAACAACACCAAAGAGCTTCAAACATTTATGTATCTGTAACTGACTTATACATCTGTTGCTCGCTTCTGTTTTGGGGTCCCTCCAGAATTTTCCCTGTCACCTGTAGTATTCAGTTTCCTATCAACATAGCACAAATCAGAGTCATTTGGCAAGAGGGAACTTGAATCTAATTGTCTTGTAGGTAAGTCAGTAGGGTCATTTTTTGGTAAACGATTGATGTGGAAAGGCTCAGCACACTCTGGGCTGTTCTACCTCTAGGAAAGTGGTCCTGAATTATAAAAAGAAAAAGAAAAGCAGGTGTAAAAATACATGGAAAAAAGCCAGTAAGCAACATCTCCCTATGTTTTCTGCTCCTGCTATGATTACTGCCCCCAGTTCCTTCACTGCTTGAGTTCCTAACTTTGCTTCCTTCAAGGATAAACTGCAACCTGTACACTAAATAAATCCTTTCCTCTCAAGGTTTCCTTTGGTTATTGTGCTTGTCCACAGCAAGAAAAAGCAAATTGCAAGACTTTGAGAGCTGCAGCATCCTACTCCAAAGCCATTGTTGGTGATGTGAACAAATCCTGCTGTCTGTACCTCAGGAGTCTGCCTGGATCTGAGCACTTTCCCAGGCTCCCCTGATGCTATGCTGGTGTGAACCACCAGGATCTCTTACATGACCAGCTGTGGTTATCGGATAGCTTCCACCCTTGACTTCTCTACTCATTTTCCACTCTAAAGTCGAAAAGATGCTTTTCTGCCTTAAACAATACATTCCAATTGTCTTCAGGGGATCAGTACTCTTCAAGTAAAAGAAGCTGAAAATGGCCAACCAGTTCCTACTGACATGAACTGCACCAACTTAACTCTTCAAGCTCATATTTGTCTATTCTCTCTCTGCTTTGCCTTCTCCAATACTGATAACATTTTGGTTGTCCCTAGAGCATGTTAGGGATGCTCCCTTGTCAGATTTTGTACCATTGCTATTGCACAGGAAATTCTTCTAGATACTTATATTCACTCCTGACCTTCTCAGGTCTGCCAAAAGATCACCTTCTCAATGAGGACTCTACCATCATGCTATTTAATATTGTAACCTTCTACTGCTGACTACCTCCTCTCTTCTTTCAGTTACCCATTTTTGTCTGTTAAGATTTTTTGTTTTGTATTTACTGCTTACTTAATGGTTTATTTTTACCTTTAAGTGTGTGTGTGTGTGTGTGTGTGTGTGTGTGTGTGTGTGTGTAAGTGTGGTTTGTTTCATTGGTTGGTAGATGAATGGTGGTTTGGAGTTTTGCTTTTCTATTTTTGTTGTTTTTGTTGTGTTGTTTTGATTTTGAAATAGGTCTTGCATTGGCATAGAACTCATCACGTAGACTAGGTTGCCTAGACTGTGAGTTCCAGATTATCTGCCTTTCTCCACCTTCCCAACGCTGGGATTACAAGTGTGTATCATCATAGCTGGCTTATTTTATGATAAAACTTGGGTCCTCATGCTTGCAAGACAAATACTTTACCCACTGAGCTATCTTCCCAGCTCCCATTCATTTTTCTCTAACACTTTGCAGACTGTGCCTATCTGTGTATAATGTTCGGGATTTGTTGCCTGCTTCAAACCCTTATTAATTAACCTAAGATCCAGAAGGCACTGCTTGTTGTCTATGTCACTGCTATGATTTGGATTTTTTATTGTCCCCAACTGGTCTGCTGTGATGAAATGTGTTTTTTTTTGGTGTTTTTGTTTTTTTATTTTTTATTTTTTGGGTTTTACAAGACAGGGTTTTTCTGTATTGTTTTGGAGGCTGTCGGACCAACCCGGCCTTGAACTCACAGAGATCTGCCTGCCTCTGCCTCCCGAGTGCTGGGATTA